GGAGTTATCGGTTTTTACGCCGGATTAATTTAAACTTGGCAACTTTTCTTTTAATAGTTTTTCAACGCTTAACGGAACTTCTTCAAAAGTTCCCTTCCAAACAGTTTTACTTCTTTTTCATTTTCCGATTTATAAAACTTTTAAATGCGAATGCTGATGAATTTATGCGTTGCTTTATAACAGCAAGATGAACTAAGTTGGTTAGTGTTTCGAATCTAGCTTAGGCTTACTTTAGTAAGTTAATAAAATGTATTTGGAACATCTGTTTTACAGCAAAACAAATTTCATGTGACTTTTTAGTGCAAATATACTGGTAAAATTATCGTTTTTTAAAATCAATTTTGTATAGTATTGACTGAAATCCGGCGTCAAGTTGGAAAATATTTCAGATTTCAATTGAATAACGGACTGTAAATTCAGATCTTCCATCTACTACGTATATATAATTAATGGAAAAAATGTATAGAAAATATATTTATAAATCATAAATTCTAAACCAGATTTATACGGCAGTGGTAGATAGTAAATAACGCAATATATAGCGTTCCATGACTCCCTTATCCAACTGCAAACAATGTTCTAAGGCCTTATTCTCCAAAAGAAAGAAAAATGGTTTGAAATTAAGAAAATTGCGAAACTCTTTTCGCGTCTCGAGGGAAAACTCTGAAAAATCACAGTTTAATTTTCTTCATTTTTCACCCGGGCTGATTCTGACAGGTCCCATTATAAGAAAAACTCGAAAGAGGGGAGCGAAAAACTTATTTGAAAGGGGCTGGGAATTATAAGTCCTTAAGAGGGTCAATTGATTAGCATGCACTTTTTATTTAAAATGTTTTTTTTTGTTTAAATTCATTGTAATTTAGTTCATCGATATATGAACTTTATTACAGTATAATAATAATAATAATTTCGGTTTATTGTCCAATAAATGAACCAAATGAAATAAAGTAAACATACCGAAAAAAATTTGTGAAGTCCGCCAAGCTAAAGTTTCCTTTCGAATATTTTATTCACGTTCCTTAATTTCAAAATGGCCCAAATGGAATTATACTTTAAAATTCGTCCTTTAGAATTACAAGTGCCAAATTTAAGAGACTAAATTGGAGTTGATAAATGATTTTCTTTTGTCGTTGAGCGAATATACTTTCTTCTCCCCCTTTTAAAACGTGGCGAGTGGGAGACAAAGTTGCAAAAAGAAAAGTTGCATTGAAGGAGGTCAACTGAAATTTTCCAGATAGAAGCAAATATATTTGAAGCAAATTGGAAAATTAACATGGACACAACGGTACTAAATGATAGGTAAATGAGCGAAAATAGGCATAAGATGTTGCCAAAAGCTAAAAGTAACTGAATTTTATTACCGTTAAAGGAAGACTTCGTAGAAATAGAATTGATTGAACTTTTAATAGGAAAATTTAGCTACGAAGTATGTCGATATGGATTAGAAAATTACGAGCAAGACTTCTTCACATTTAAAATTTTATGTAAAAATAACGAAAATGGAATTGTTGAAAATACCGGTTTTGAAGTGACGATGATGTTGATATTGTGAGAAAATGTTAATTTTTTGATGGATTCAAAGTGTCCCTTTTATCCGAAAATGTAAATTACCATTTCTGATTGATGTGCCAGTCGTTCCCCTAAGAAAGCAGGATTTTTTGCGTTCCTTCTCCTAAAGAGACTAATGGCCATTCATTTACTATTATAATGGGACTCTAATAGCCCAGGAGATTCAAAATGGGGGGAACGCTTACAAATAACAGCTAATAGCCCGCATGTCGATTGAATGCTGTATCATTTTGCCATTTAAGTGTTTCCATTTAAAGTTTGGAATAACATCTTTAATGAAACTAAAGGGTCTAGAACTTTACCCTGTCCATTTCCAAGAATAACATGATGCATTTCAATTATTTCAAAAAATTTTGGACCTCTATAGTTATGGAGATATCAGCTCGTTTTTCACGGTTTCGTAATACGGGTATTTGAAGAAATAAACTTTGATACATTTCTTGAAACAATTGTATTACTACATTGTACTGAGCTACTTCAAGCTTTTTCAAGCTCTTTCTTCTGCTTCAAGTTAAGATGTTTCCACACCTAAATATATAATTGTTTTGTTTTTAATATCATCCACGGCAAAGCATTTTTCGGTGTTTTTACATATGTTTTTCCTGAAGAAGATCTAATCCCTGAATGAGATTTTAATAGCAGAAATGTGTACTTTGCTTAAAATATTTTTCTTAAAATTCGTTTGACATTGGCTTTTTTTTAATTGATAACCAGCTAAATATTTTAGCGTTTATTATCAAAACGAGCAAAAGGAGTAAAACATAATTCAAAAGTAAATAGTCATGCGGCCGATATTCATGGAAACTACAGCGGTGCTCAGAAGAATTATATCCAATCAATAATTCAAATGGAAGGGTCCTGTTGCAAATATAAAGCAGATTTCTTGTCTTCTGTTCATGGATCAATACCAGCCTTTTGTCGCCACTATAGGGAACATTACTCTAACGTTAAAACTCTTCTAATATATTTTTCAGTCGCAACAAGTCCAAGCGCCACTTTACGGGTTAACAAGCTGCAGAAATATGCTTACCCAAGGAGGATTTTTGAAATTAAAATAATACGATTGTACAGAGAATCAATTGGAGTAAAGTAAGTATTGAAAATACTGACAGGAATCAGGAAATATTTAGACTTTGTTCAAAACTAGAGGAATATGTCGAAACAAAATCAATTAAAATTTTTATCCCGAAGCAATCTCGTTTACACCTTACAATTGTCTAGAAATCAACATCATTAGTAATGCCTAAAAATAAGTAAAGTTGTGTAAAGTATGTTAAATTTTAAATTCTAACTAAACGACTTTGTAAGTTGCGGCATTATTACGTTCTATTTTATTAGTGTCCCACACCTGCAATCTTTTCAACTTAATTTAATTTTATTATTTTTTCTGCAAACTAGAATACTAGAAAACAACCAATGTATATGAGAGTAAAAATGTTTTAATCTGTGCTACTAATGTTGAAAATGTTTTTAATATATCGCATAGAATGTTACTGTTAAATCAGTTTCCTAAGGTTTCAAATAAATTGATCAATTTCTGAAAAACCAAAAAAACTAGTAATGTTTCTAAGTGAGTGTATTATTTGTTCATCTTTAAAAAGAAATGCTTTGCGTAAGACATTTTTAAATCAGTCCAGACACAACATTGAATTTTGTAATAACTTTGATGTAAATAAAAACCAGGTTGTCAATCAAAAAAATCTTAATCGAGATTTTATATTCCCTTTCTCGTGTGTACACATTGTACCAGTAAAAATATTGATAAAATACCATTAAAAATAAACTATTTTGAAGATAAAACTATATCAAAATGACTTGTTTCAGTTCTCTACACATAAAAGCTAATATCGAGCAAATTTTTAAACAAAAACTTAGACAGCACATAAATACATGACAAACAAATCACATGTAACCAAACTAAAGTAAAAATTTAATTTGTCACCTTTTTTGTAATTGTGGGTTTTTAAATACTTTTAGTTGAAAGATCATTACAGAATTGCTCGGCTATAAAGATAGATGTGATTTTGAACCGTAACAAAATTCCCGTAGTATAAAGATATAATAAAAAAGCTATTAATATGTAAAGTAAATTAACAAAGTGTCCTGATATGAACGTGGGAAAAATATGTAGATATTAAATAGAAGCGCGCTGATTGTAAGCGTCAAGTATCAAAGAAGACTGGCATTAGCGCACAGCGCATCTGTTGCCCCACTCTTCTTCCCCCACCGCGCTACAGACGCAAGTAGTATAAAGACAGCAACAGTTCCAGTTAAAAAAAATAGTCACCGGAAATTGACACGGAAAACAACTTTTACCGTTGCCTGATCTCCCCCGATAAAGTTTTTCTCCATTTATTGAGTCGGTCTGTTCCCAATTGCAATTAATTTCACTTTATTTCTGGCTCTTCTAGATGATTTGCTTTGAGTTCTTTAATTGCTTAAGTGTTTATTTCCTCCTATTTTTGTTTCCTCCTATAAGCATTCACCACTTCTCTCTTGATTCTTCTCTCTATTTCTCGTAATTTTTCAGCTTCCGTTCTTCTTGCTCGTCTTTTTATTTTTTACTCTTACTCCTTTATAAATGTTTCTTTGAAACTGTTTAGCCGGTCTACCTTAGGCATTCATTGGTTCCTCAATTATTCTTAGTATTATTAGCTAGTCATAGCCGTTCATTCAGAATTGGTGCTGATTTAATTTTGTATTTTCTAAATAACCTTGTTTTGCTTCATCATCAAGAAATTAATTCATTTGCTGGTTGATATTTAACGCAAACTTTATCCGAAGTTTAAAATAGTCAACTAAACCACACTGTTTATTGATATTTAGAGCTTTCTGAATAAATTTTCTCGCTTTCGTATTCAAACCACATGAGTTGCGATTGTGGCAGTTCTAGACAGGTTCAAGTGAATTGCATTGAATTCTCTATTACAGCCATAGATGGCACAGGAACATTATCGATGTGTCTGCAACTTGCGATTCAGCACGTTGTCAAGACAAAATGTACCTTGTCACTTGCTCTAGGAGCTTAACTTGTTCAGAGTTAAAAATATATTTACCCTTTTATCCAAGAATTTGATACAATGTTAGCTTAATAAACGATTGCCGTCTAACGTGGTTGTATATAATTAAAGTGGAGTGTGTTACAGGAAGCGCATTCGAAAATATAAGTTAAAAACAATAGGTAAAACACATTTTTTCAAATATTATCGTATCTAGAGTTTTGGGAGGTAAAAACCTATAATGAGGTATCGCAGAGCTATCGGAAATAAAGTTACTGACCATGTCACAAATAAAGGCGAATGATTCCAAATGCTCTCTACAAAAAGGCGAGAATTTTATGAAAATTTTCTGAACTCTGCTTTCAAATTTGAATCGATAGACTTCTGTAAAGATGTTTTATTCGCATTTAGTAACAGAGGGCATCCAGAATCAAACCAGCTGTCAAAAACAGAGAAGCAAAATTGAAGATGAATGATAATAATAACAACAAAAACTAGGTTTTAGTTCGCAGTTTAGTTATGGTTATTGTTTGTGTATATTGCATTGCTGAAACCCTAAACAAGAATGTGCTGTTAGTCTCAAATATTGTTTAAAAATTGCATGTTCAGTTGACAGTGATGAACAATATTTACTTGCAGACAGTCATCGTCTTGGGTAAGTAATTAATTACTATTTTTATGTTTATTTCATAGCCTGTTAAGTTATGCAATACCGCTTTTACTTTTCATTCACCTGGTTCGCTCACATCTGTTACTGTTTATGTTATAGTTAGTTCACAGCTGAAAATATACATTTTGTGTTCTGTGAATATTGTTTTGAATGTTTTGTTTATAATTTTTTGGCATCACAATAATTGACAGACAGTCAGAATATTGGTTAAAGTACTTGATTTGGATCCAAAAGAAGTTAAATTTTCAACAAATTAAGTAGTAGTGTTCGTTTGTTTTCAGTTTTGTTTCCGCTGCTTAGAAAATTAACTAGGTTTGAGGTTTTTGTGTTTCTCGATCGGCCTTCTGAGGGTTTCTGAACATCTTCAGATCTATGAATGATTCCTTAAGAAGATCAGTGATTTTGGGCCGCCTCACTTTTCTCTAGTTGATAATTTTTCTTAGGATTTTTTATTTTCGTTATCAAAATAAATACTTGCATATTCAAGAATGGGAAAGGAACTTGACTCGGCATATTCACAGAGGACCTATTTGTTCAAATTATAGACAAGGATAAACGATTACATTTTTTTATTTAGCTACTTACTGACATTTTTATAGCAATTTTTAAAAATTTTTTTTGCCCACACATTCGTAATTTCATATGCTTGAATTTCACCTTAGAGAAAATCTTTTTGCAAGCAATTTTTCTTGGAGTTGGAAAAATGTTAGATTCCATTTATAAGAGGAGCATATTGTTAAATTGGAACACGAAGGGCTGATTAAAAACTTAAAAATTCCTTTGATTTTTTCCACACATCTGTTATAATTTTTGGGATAATTTATTCCTCATTTTAGATTATACTACTTGTGAGGGTCCACGGTCCAACATACGTCCGTTATTTGGAAACAGCGCGATTGTTGGTTAGAGATCAGAGACTCTCTTTTACTATTCAGAATTTTTATTTGTACGTCACTGATCGTTTGTTTGAAACGATTTTATTTCTGCGGTTAATTTAGTAACGTTTTAGGACGAATTAAATTTACAACCTGTCACTGTAACTGCAGGCAAACAGGGCGATATTTTCTTTGTGGTCACTTTTATCACTTCTTATAAACGTCTAAAAAAGTCTAGCTACATTTTTCTAATTTTGCTATTCAATTTAGAAAATTCCTTGTCTCCTTGATTTATTTTGTATCTGCCAATGTTTTCGAAATTTGCGAAGCAAATAAAAGTATTAGAACGATGGGTGAAGTTTGTCACTTCTACTATTGAACCCAAATAAACTAAGAACCACTTTTTAATCAATGTGTTATTAATGTTGTTAAGTGCTAAAATATAACTGTTATTTATAGAGAGCAAGAGTTTCCTTCGAGCAAAGAACGAAATAAATATTTTAAGTTCAACACCATTGTATATAGAAAATGCTACGTTCGGCGGTATCTTTTGGAAAAGCAGAAATGCTTGTTTTCATGTTCTCTACCACGCAAAGTTTGTCGGTATGTTGTTAGAAGAAGTATTAAATTCAGAAACGATCTCAAATTACTCGAAAGCAATTGCAGTTACGATATAAATAAAAGGGTCAAACTTTCAAGTTGAAGGTGGATCTCGAATTGATTGGAAAAGCGGCCAGTTATGCACGATAAAAACATCTAAAAGGCAAAAGAGAGCTTTTCCTCCGAAACAATATCAGCTTATATGTTTCCAAATCGTGTATATTATGTTAAAACTTGTGATCTATCGCAGAAAACCGGGGTTAAAATGATGACAAAAAAATACAAACAATATAGAAGCTGTGAGGATAATACTATACAAAGCTGGAAAGCTTCTTCAGGAAGTTTCTTTATTTTTTCCCGACGTACAGGGTGTTTTGGAAGGAAAGAGAAATATTTTGGAAATGCGTTCAGGAGATCAAATGCGCCGAGTGAACCCATATGGTTTAATCCAATTCTTAACGGTTTCTGAAATAATCGGTTGTTACGTTTTTGTGGCAATTTTTTATTTTAAAATCAATATCAACAAATAATTGTAGCACAAACGACAAAATAAATTAAATAAACTTGTGATCCATATTGAACATATTCAACCTAATCTCGTCGGATAATCATCGTTCTGATAGTACTTATAAACCGACTCATTCTGTATAATTCAGTAAATTATTATAGTAAATTGTTTTATTCGTCTATTTCTGTATGTTGTGGTGTTCACGTATATTGAGAAAGAAATGCAAGTTGAAAAAGATCGCATTTGCTCTTAGATTCCAGATTTTTTTATTTGATTCTGGTATTAGAAAGATTGGTATATTTGGTGTCAATATCAACACACCTAGAGTCAATCAGACTAAACAAAACTAAAATTAGGTTGTTTTGAAACAGTACAGACATTTATTTGTACATGCACAGAAGGTCAACCGTTAAAGATAAACACTTAATGATCCGGTGTATCCAATAGTAGTGACCAAAATAGTTTTTTAAATTTTAATGCGACTATGTATTTTTTAATTTTTTCAACGTAAGAAATATATAATTCACGAAAATATAGTCAATGCCGATTGAAAAAACTCTTATGGGTATTAGGGATTTAATATCCGAAACACGCCTGTACTTAAGAACTAATCGAATAATTTTTATTGGTTCTTCAGTGCATACAATCAATCAAGGCATAAAAAAATATTATGTATTATCCATATTGGATAATACATGATGAAAGATGTTTCGGACTATTTGTTGCAATAAATATCGATTCATTTTTGTGCTCATGCAGACATGTAGGTAAATAATCGCCATTATAGTGAATTGAATGCCAGAAAAATCTTCCAGACATCTTTTCAAAAAGAGTACGGAATAGTTCGAATGTATAAAGATGTTTTATTGTCTTCATAAGTAGCTAATTATTACTGGTAAATATTCGAGGGCTTATTTAGCTTAGAAATAAGTAATAAGGTAAATGTGAATTTTAGCATTATAAATACAAGTACAGTAAGTAAATATGCAAGAAAATGCACGAGGTTAGAAGAATAAAAAACGGTTCATTATCATCCACGGATTAATTATCTAACATTGCACCAAGTGCTAAGTCTTGATCCAAAACGCTGTCTGTTGCTAATTCATAGTGCGATATTTTTTATGTCCAATCCAGATAATTATAATTTAAAGCCTATTTATTTCCATAAACATTCTAACAGATGTTCCACTAATCAATCATTATATGAAATTAAATACTAGATGAGCTTTTTTTCCAGGGCGAAACTTTATGAGTTTCACTCGAAAAAGTTTCAAAACTAAGTTGTTAAGCAAAAACCTATATATTGAATGGATTAAAAATATTGTAAAAATAAAAAATTACAAGAAGTATATTTAACGTGCGAGACACAACATTTAAGGACGTTGTATAAACAATTTTCATTGAAAGAATTATAAAAATAGTAATAATTGAAGGCGGCATTTTTGGATCCCTCTGTATACGTCATGTCAAAGTTAAATGCAATTACTTAATGAAAAGCAACAGTTAAAAAGTTTTTAACATCTTTGTTGTTAAAATGTTTTCGATTTTCTTCATTATTTTTTAGTAATATTTTTTAAAATAAGGTAGGTGCTCTAATAGCCAAATGCATTATTTGTTTAAACGACTCTTAGCTAACATTTGTCATAACCAAATTTTGATGCAAACATTTTTTAAAACGATAGTTCGTCTTCATAGAAAGAGTATGTATTATATGATGTTACATACTTCGTTATTTAAGCAAAAATAATTTAATATTAATAATAAATATTCACCTTTGCCGTATGTTGCAATATATATTTTTTTCCATTTAATGCATTTTTCACTAATATCAAATTATTTCCTGGTAGTTGGATTGACCCAATCAAAACGCAATATTACATAATTTAGTAAACTCCTGCATAATTTAGTAAACTAACTAATGCGTCAAGAGTAAATTTAAAAATGTATGTCGTTCGGAAGAATTTACCAACTATGGGGTCTTTGCTCCTTGCATCATAATGTTATAAACGAGACTCTAATAGTTGTGTAATCATTAGGCAACATTTAAAGAAAGTTGTTATATAATGTGCCGTTTAAATGTGTGCACGGGAAATCGGAAAGAAAGTATGACATTGCTTTCACATAATGGTACTTGCTAACAACAATATTTAATAATGTAGTCGGGATTAAATTATGTTTGGCATTTCACTGCTTTCATCGACAAAATTTTAAACATATTTTGCTTTTTATCTTGTCATAAGTTTGTGCAATTAGATAATTAGGAGATATCAGAGAGCAAAATGAGCATTCTACAAATCAATATTTATAGAACCAGAACATTAAAAGTGCATGCTGAGAATGTAGCAAATTACGATAGTTAAGTGTAGATATCCTTAATTGTTTTGATCCACTGGTTTATTACTGAGCAACAAAACATAACTGTTCATGAAGAAATTGAAACTGTAAGGTCAAGACTCTCCACTGAAATCCATTAAAACAAACACATTGTTTGCAACTGCTCAGTGTAAATATACGGAAGGTGAAAGTTCGCTTAATTCGCTATTGAATAACTGTTGTTTGCCACCTTTATTTCCCCTAAATAAATTCTGATTTATGACCAACTATTAAATTCTAATATTATTTCATCCACCTCTTACCACCTACGCATGTATTTTATCAGGAATTAGTTAATTTCTTAATAAATATACGGTAATATCCAGAATAAAGCAGAGGCACAGTATAAAACCAACGCAATTTGGGTAGCCACTAAACTTAATGCAAAGGGACAAAGAAACATACCATTTAAGAGCAAGTAGAATTATTATTTTGAAAACACATACCAATTTTGAGAACAACTCTGCGCTTGTCATGTCTTCTTCTGCAAAGTACTGTATCAGCTTCCACTTTCACATTATTTGTTTGTTTTCCCGTTATTTTACATGAAGAATTATTGCAACTATATCACTCCATTAAAGTATATTTTGAGTTGCTTCTAGTGCGATTATACTAAACAAAACAATTTG